AGTTTAGCTCAGGGGTTAGGTATTCGGTTTGCGTTCGTTAGGTTGTGAGTTCGATTCCCTGCGTTTGCGAGATTTTCTTCGATAGGAGTAAATAAATATAATAAATTGTAAAAATAATAATTAAGAATGTGTAACGTAAAGATAAAAAAATGTTGTACGATAATTTTTTTTTTTAATGATAAAATATTGATTTTTTTTAATTTTTAAATATTTGTAGTCAGAATTCATGAGAAGTAAGTCAGGAATCTTCAAAACTATTTTATAGAAAGAAATGTCATTTAACATCACAAATAGTTACAGGGTTTAATGATTTATGGTATGGCAAAAAAAGGGTCTCCGACCCTCATAAAAAATCTGACTACTATTGACGATTCTTTGACTAAACCTCACTTATTGTGGTGTTCTGTGACTGCAATCGTAACAAAAACAGTCTCAAAACGTCAGAGATCCTGACTAATTTTTTGACGTTTTGTGATTTTATTTTTAGCAGGGTAATGCATATATTCTATTTAAATTATATTGTGATTAAATAAAAAAATTTCAAGTTATTGGAACTTGATACATTTTTCTTGTTTTGAAGGTTTGTGTTAAACAGTGGGACACCTATTATTAAATAATGAATAATTGTTTCAATAATAATATTCTGCTGCATACTTTGTAAATATGTATGTTTTGCATTAAATAACGTTAACAAATGTTGCAAAACACTCATAATTTAATAATATTTTACCTTTTTATAATACGATGTCAAGTTTCATATGAAAAATTGCTATTATTTTTTTTACGTTTACAGTACTGCTGATCATACGTCATAATTTGGTCATAACCTAAAATCAATTTGGAGGAAAATTTGAATAGTCGTTCTCTTATCAAGTGTTATTTTTCAAATGTTGCCGAACAATAATTGTAATAATTATAAATTTTGAATTTTTTAATGTTTTTTAGCATAAAAAATCACATTTTTAGTCGCTGTGTAAGTATAAATGCGCATGCGTATAGCTGACACAACTTATAATTAGTGTTGCCAAAATCCACGTTTCATAAACTTAAATTTTTGCCTGTCCCAGTGTTTAATGTCCCACTGTTTAAATTGAGCAAACGCAAGAAATTATTTAAATAAAAATTGTTTGTAAAATTTTAAAACATTTTAAATTATTGGATATTATACTTAAAAACATGAGTAAACGAAGTAACAATTAAACTCTATTGTCAAAGGATTGGTATTGTTTGTGGTAATTGTTCTGAGGGACTAATACTGGTATATACATATTTTTTTATTTTGAAAACAGAAAAAAAGACGAGTAAGATTTTTAGGCGAAGATATTCTTATGTTATTTTGAATCCTCTAGATAGAGAAATGCAATATTGAATGAAAATGTTTATATGTTATATTCCTTGATGTGAGAAAGAAAGGTATAGATTACCTCTTCAGTTTTTGACTTTTATCTTTATATTTCCATGAGATAATACACGGAAAAAATTTCGAGACGTCACACGTGCCGATGTCGATGTAAACCTACAGTACATTTCATTATGTACTCAGAGTTAATCTTCATTAACAAAGGTTCTATTGGCCAAGGGTTGGTACATCTTTATTTTTCTATATAATAAATGTGTAAAAAGAAATTATTACCTGGGTCCTCAGAGTTAATCCTCATTAACAAAGGTTCTATTGTCCAATGGTTGGTTTTCTGTGGTATTTGTTCCGGGGTTTTAAAACAGGTATAAATACGTATATATGTTATTTATAATGAACTACTAATTACTTTATATAAGAGTGTCCTTTTTGCACATATTGGCTGATCAGTAGTTACTGATTCATAGTTACTCATAGTCGCTAAAGAATTTTATAAAATAAAGAAAAAATAATTATAAACACAATTAGACTCTATATTTTATTCCTATATTTTTGCACAAGAAACATTAATATTTTTGTTTTTCATATTCAAGTTTAATTTAAATTGTGAACAAAAACTTTTATGAATTGTCCTATGTAAGGATAAAATAACTCGTGTCGTAAAATTTTACCATTTTTACTTCATCTTTACAATCAAAAAGACAATTGTCGATGAATGACGACTGCTGTCGGGCATTAACGATTGCACACGACGCATAAATCGTAAATGTATGCGTATATTATGAATTTCAAAATTTGGGAATTTTCCAAAAATTGTCAATATTACTTTAAAAAAATTGTAATTTTACTCGCTAATGTATTTTTCTAAAGAAACGGGAATATTACCAACTTTTGTGATTATACTACATTAAAAACAGGAAAAATACTACAGTGTGGAATTGTCATTTTTGCTTTAGTAAGGTTACGTTCGCCAATGGTAATTTTCCCATCTAGTGCAGTTTCACAGCCTTCAGTCATTTCGTCCTTTTGAAAGTGGGTAACATTATTACCCACTTTAAAAGGAGGAATTTCGCTGAGGAATGAAAAATCCCAATATTCGAAATAGTAAAATTACCAAATATTGTATTTTCCATTTTGGACCCTGTATTATTTCTGCATTTAATATAGTATTTGTGCCAGGGATTCTTAAAAGTAAAATTCCTATCTTTAGGAAAATTCTGTTTGGACTTTTTACAGTGTTGTATTGAATTAAAGGAAAAATTGGTTATATTTAATAAAAGGTAAAATTGGTTGTATTGAATTAAAGACAAAATTGGTTATATTTAATAAAAGGCAAAATTTGTTATATTAGAGAGAGTGAGCAAAAGGGTTAAAGATATTTAGATTTTCATGAATTAAAAATAAAATTAAACGAAGTATACTATGGCCAACATAAAAGAGTATGTTATTTTAAGTGATAAAGATTTAAAAAATATTGAAAATAGAAATAAATTGTTAAATTACATGCATATGTACAAATTTGAAAATTTATTAAGAAAAGATTCCAATTCTTTTTTCAATATAAAAAGGCTTTTTATGTACAAATTCTTGATTTTATTGTTCCAATTAGAGAAGGTCATAAACATATTCAATGACTTTTTAGCGGTAATAACAATTATGGTCACTGAATTTGTGTCTATTACGATAGAGTAAGGCTTTATATTTTTGATAGCCTTAATGAGGGGTGTTTAAATGTGCATCAAATAAAATATTTAATTAGATTGTTCCATTTTAAACCAACAGTAGTTTTTGAAGCTGTTGATCAACAACCTTTTGGTAGTGTTGAGTATATGCAATAGCATTTGCAACATCTATATTATTTAACGTAATGCCAAACCATGTAAATTATGAAACTGATAATAACAAAATGAGAAACCATTTTAAGTCAATGTTTGAAAATAATCGCTTAAATCATTTTCCGTCAGTAAGAACGTCTCACAATAGGAATTCGATAATAGAGAATGATTAGAACCGTCTTTTCATAAATTGAACTCAGGAACATGAAAATTATATTTTTAGTAATTATATTCCCAGTAATAATATTAACAGAGTTCTATTAACACAAGATTTAAAAATTAAACATTCTCTAAATGACACTAGTGAAAAGAAAATAATTGATACAACTGATAATAATGTGAACAAAATTTCACTACATGAATATTTAAAAATGAAAAATTTTCTGAGTAAAAAAAATGATAAAAAGATAAATCGAGCAATTAAAGAGAAGGGAAGAAAAAGGAAGGCAAGGCGCGAAGTTACATATGAGCAGAAAATAATAAGACAGGAGAATGAGAGATTGAGAAAACGTAATCGTAATAAAACAGAAATAAAAAAGAAAGAGCGCAAAAAAAATTTAACATGCAAAAAAAAGAAGTTACCCTACCGAAAGAGTGGTACTGGAATGGAATTTCCACGCTTATTGCATTAGTGACCTTACCAGCCAAGTGATCCACCGGTAAGGTATTGCAGTCGTCGGATGTCGACGCCCTAGGGCCTGCTTTCTCACCCCGACTTAGCGCCGTTACAGAGGTGTCAGAATTCCTCCGTGTTGTTTTTATTTTATCTGTCATTATTAATTCCTATGGTTGTATTTTCTGTTTGGGGTTCCTTCCCTTTAGGTCTTAAACCAGTGCTGGTTTTTGGTTTGCGCCGATTATTTTATTTCACCGATACCACCTATATCTAGGAGGCGTGCCCTTATCCACCACCTAGGGACGCGCCCAATGGGAGACCAGCAGCCCCGCGCTAGGTACCAAGTCCTGTCGCGCTCTAGTTGGAAGCGAGTTCCAAAAGGACACGGGATAATTGTATAATATTATATAATATTATTATTAAAATTATTAATTGATATGAATATTTATAAAATTATATGATATTATACTCTTTGTAGTAATAAACATCTGAAAAACTGTTTGATGACTTTACAAAATAAGATAAGTATCTGTTTAATGTATTTTCGTTATAAAAGACATTTTTTAAAAAAAGTTCATAGCCTCCCCTGGTCGATCCCGTTAACGAGCTCCCAGTGTGGTTGAGAGTTATGATGGTCATGGGTTCGAGTCTCAGATTCAACGCGTCGAAAGAATATTTTTTTCTTTTTTTATTTATATTATTGACGCTTTTTTAAAACTTAATAATTTATTGAATTATAATTTACATTCAAAAATTGCTTAATAAACAAAATTAAATTTTTAAAATAAATATCCGACGTCGGATGCGATGACGGTCCGACGCTGGAAACGATCCCAAATCTCGGCTACGAATCCGGCGTCGTTTTCGACTGCGGATCCCATGTCGAATCCGACGTCGGATCTGAAGGCGGAAACGAAATAGGTTACGATGCGTATCCGGCTTAGGAAACTGCGACGGAATTATTCAATAGGGACGTGTTGTTATTGCAGATTGCGTCTCAATTATGTTTCAGCAAAACCTTCAGAAGATTGTTCTGTGGACGTGAGAATTAAATTATCACGTCACAGTATAAAATTTAAAAATCTTTATTTTTGAGCACATAAAAATAGTTTAACTCCTTAAAGTTAATAAAATGTATTGTTTTTTATTGTATTTAGTTTTTTAGAGAAAATAAATAGGATTTTTGTTGCAGCCTTGGACTTTGTACTGATCCTTATACTCCTCGATGTGGACATCCATTTTGTCAAAAATGCATTATTGAAGTAATGGGAAAAAGGAGTGCTCAATGTCCAATGTGTAATGGCGTATTAACACGAAGAACTCTGATCCGAAACAATCAGTTAAATAGTATCATTGAACATTTGCACAAAATCGAAGATGCCATTAAAATCGATATTAATTTAGGAAGTAAGTATTTTTATGTATTCCTATGTTGAAAGTACTCCCTAATAAAAAAAATTATCGTAAATACAAACATAACCGTAATTACGACTCTTTATACGAACGCACATGGTGGATTTGTCAAGTGTCTATCCCAAAAAAAGTTTTTGTCCAACCCATCTCCAATTTTTTATAAGTTTTCCTATACGAGGCGCATGAATATTTCCCAATTGACTCATAACAGAATTGTCATTTAACTGAAACGCATATAACAGAACTGTCAGAAGTCCGATATGACATATAACAGAATTGACAATTGTCCGATATGACATAACAGAATTGTCAAATGTCCGACATGACACATAACATAACTGTTAGAAGTCCGATATGATATATAACAGAATCGACAAATGTCCGACATGACATATACCCACACAGCACAGTATATTGCTGTAAGCTTACCTCAAGCTTACATGTAATTTTTGTAAGCTAACCCTGTAAGCTTCAGGTAAGGTCGAGGTAATATAAAAATGTCCGCCATACAGTAAGCTTACACAGTAATGCCATGGTAAACTTACATGGTAAAGTCATGGTAAGCTTACATGGTAGGGGCACTGTAAGCTTACATGGTAAGATCACTGTAAGCTTACACGGTAAGATCACTGTAAGGTTACAGTAAGCTTACACGGTAAGCTTATATTAATTGCTAACAAATAACAAAGTATTAATTTATCAACGTACAGTAAACAATAAATTGTTTTGCACAATTATATTTATTTTGTCATTTATATAAAAAACCCCGGTAGGGTTTGCTTAAAAAAATTTACTGCGCATTCGTAAGTGCCATAGAAAGCTACTGCGCATAAATATTTTAAAAAATTATTTATTGATACCTTTGAAAACTTGCCGTGTAAGCTTACTGTAACCTTACAGTGACTTTGCCATGTAAGTTTACTATGGCCTTACTGTGTAAGCTTACTGTATGGCGGACATTTTTATATTACCTCGACCTTACCTAAAGCTTACAGGATTAGCTTACAAACATTACATGTAAGCTTGAGGTAAGCTTACAGCAATATACTGTGCTGTGTGGGTAACATAATGTTATTGAACCGAAATGACACTTAGCAGAACTGTCAAATGTCCGACACGCCATATAACAGAATTGACAAATGTCCGACATGACACACTGAAAAAAAATAATAAAATAAATAAAAATTATTACTTGGATCAAGAAAATCGTGGGACTGAATACGGTCAAATCAATAATGTTACTGTTTCAAGAAAATTATTTACTTGGAGCAGTATATTTGAAAGAAGAACATATGTTCTTGATCCAAGAAAATATGGAATTATATCAAAAAGTTAATCGACTTCTATGAGTAAAATATTTTCTTGTTCTAAGAATATCTGTAGTCAAATCAATTATTGCATTTGATTCATTTATATCTTTGTAAGGTTGGTTCATATAAGTAAAGATATAATCAAAATATTATTTACATTGTCAGAAGAGCGAATGTTCTTGGTCCAAGAAAATATGGAATTCGTCTAAGAAGTTAATTGACTTTTAAGAAATGTAAAATATATTAAGTCAAGATCATATATATATATATATGGCTCATTTCATTTAAATTGTCATATTCGTGTCCCTTGCCAAAAAAAATTATTTGATATAACCTTAGTTGAAATTAATTTGTTTATATAGTAAAATGCAATAATTTTCAATAATTTTTCTACTTACAAGGACATAAAAGTGATTTTCATAATATTGGCAGAACAAAAAGCAGGCAAAATGTCATGAGTGTAATGCGTCCCCGGAGACATTTTTAATGTTCAAATGAATGAAATGTCGAAAATATAGTGTTTAAACAAGATTTAAAATATGTTTCGTGAAGTATTACTTCTATATTTAATGATAGAACGTCCAACAGCCTTCCGGCAGGATGAAAAAGACTCACGTGAGTCCCCCCGAAATCGCTTTATAAAATTAACATGGATTCAGATAATCCAAAAGTAAAATATATCGTTGGAAAGGTAAAAACACAAGCTTTTAGCGCTTGTAAACATAAAGTTTGTAAATAAAAATCCCTAGGTTAGGGAATTCAAAGAAAAAGGACGTTTTTATAGGGTTTTTTTGACGAATCCAAAAAAATATTTAAACTGAATTTTTTTAAAAATAAACTATCACATTTTATTCTTTGAAGGCTTCAGAAGAAAATGAGAGTAGTTAGACCGAAAAATATTGGTTTTTGTAGATTTTACAGTGAATTTACGAAAAACTGTTTTTTTGGCTTGTAGCAAACATGCAAAGTTTGAAGGCTTCGAAACATGGTTTAATATTATTTTTTTTTTAAGTCTAACGCATGAATTTTTTCGTTTTTACGTCTACTTTAATAGGAAAGGGTGACAGAAAAAAATTTTGAGTTCCCTTTTTACCACCCTCATATATATAGGGCCATCCAAAAAAGCCTTCCGACAGGACGGGCGCTTGGACGTTCTATCATTAAGGAAAATCAAGTGTTGGTAATTAAACTTTATTTTATACAATTTCCAGAAAATGAAAATGACGTGTCCCTCACTTTTGTATTTTTATGTTTTGCCGGCAGAATTTCCTACTTTTAGCTGCAAATTAAATTACTTTATGAGCAAAAAAATTTTTTTACCATCGCATAAGCAGCAGAACACAACAACGAAGTGTGTGAAAAAAAAGAAAACGATATAAGTATAAATCTGCTCGTTTGTCATGGAGGCAGAAATAGCAGACACAATTTCGTAATTGAATTTCTGTCAACAGTGTAACGCCTGGAAAATGGTAAGTAAATATTTTGAATTTTATATCGGTATGAAATTTAATGTATTTTTGGATTCTCTTTCGAATGAGACCAACCCCGTCGATATAAGTATAATCGTTTTCATTTTATAAGCGAAAAACGAGCAAAATGTCATCAGTGTAATGGTCATAAGTGTAATGCAAATTTGTATATATGGCTTCAGTAAACGTAATAAATCACAGAGGCCTACAAAATAAAACTTTTTTCTTTTATCTTGATATCAGAATGGTTTCTAATGTATTTTTGGGCTCTGAACACGATCCCGGGTCTTAAAATTGCCTAGCATGTCAGGATTTTGAAAAAAAAGTGAGGGTAAAAACCCCCAAAAACGTGTTTTTATAGGTGTTTAATATGATTTTTCTCTTTAACCTGACGTGGTAAAAACTTCAAAAAAGTCTTAAATTAAAGCTTAAATCGTGTTATACATGACCCGTACACGCACCCCCCCCCCAAATTTTTCAATAAAATGGGGTTAACCCCCCCCAAAATTTTTTTTAAAAATTTTTTCGGCGAAATGAATAGATGTTTATTTGTTTTATGTTTATAATATTTAAGCATTTTTATAATTTGTTGGCTTCTTTTCAGGAAAATAAATACAAATTAGAAAGCTTAAAAAGAAAATTGAAAGCAGATCGTGAAGATGCTTATGAAAAAAGAAAAAAATCGAGGAAGAACGACGAGAGAAAAAAAGATGTCGAGAAAGAAGTAGATATAAGGAAAATAAAAATAAATTAAAAGCTAATCTAATGGAACAACGTAACACCTCCAAAGAAGTGCAACTATCGCAGCGTCAATCAACTAATCAATTAGTTTCTAAACAAATTCCTAGTGCAATTGATTCGACCAGTGGAAATATGCAAATGTCGACTAGTAAAAAAAATTTTGTTGTCAAAAATAAAAAAAAAGGAAAAGAGTCTGAAAAAAAATCGGTGGAAGAACTAAAAAGTATTAATAGAGAAAGAGTAAGGAAATATCGGGCTAAAATATATGGCGATCCAAATTTGTACTCAAAATTTTTGCAAAATCAGAAAAAAAATAATCTCAAAAGAAAAGAAAGAGGTTTAACAACAATTTCCAATATGACGGAAAAACAGAAGCAGATTAAACGAAAATTTTGGAGAAAAGCGGAAATTAAACACAGGAAGAAAGTAAGCGAGTTGCAAAACCCAGATCAAGGTTTGATCTGCGAAACACCACAATCTTCATCATATAAACTTGTTGGGGCAAGAAGAGCTAGGAAAAATAGGGATTTTTTAAAAAGTAAAATAAGGAAGTTGGAACACGAAAAGCAACAATTGATAAAGTGTTCAAATAAATTTAAAAAGAGATACCAAAGATTGAAAACGCCTTCTAAAAATAGTGGATCACCGTCACCGAAAAAGAAAGCTGCCGGAGTGATGGAAAGAGGAAAAAAAGCGATCAGACGTCAATTGCAGTTTTCATTCGCTTTGCAAAAACAAATTAAGTTAAATTATGATGCAGGTTCAGCGCTTGAAAAAACTACGATTTCCAGAACTGTTGCAGGAAGCGTGATAAAAAAATATCAAGGAATGGGTCATCTGACGAAACTTGTATCCTTAAAACGCTATCGATATAACGTAAAGAAACCTGGCATAATTGCATGCTTGGCTCCTGTCTTGCCTGTCAAGAAAAGAAATTGAGTACCGCAGATTATAATGCTAATGAATCATCTTATTATTATAAATGGACTCGAAAAGAGGAAGAAAGTGTTAATAAAAAGGGTGAAAAATATACATTCACAGCTATGATGAAAGACAAAATCTCGGAGACACAAGGAAGTATTGTTTCAATTACAAACCAGGAAATACCCGATTTTCTTGAACATTTGCATAATATTTCTACTCAACATCAGTATTGTAAGAAAATAAAGGCGAACCTCGATAGTAAAACTGCCGTTTTACATTCCGATTTTTCTGAGAATTATGCTACTAAATGTCACACAGAGGTTCAGGCTTTACACTTTGGAGGATCTAGAGCGTTGCTAACGATTTATACGAATGCATACTACATCTTGAACCCCGTTTCGAAAAAAATTGACGTTGGAAAGTTTTGTACAATTTCCGAGGATGTTCGCCATACTGCGCCAGCCATTTTTGCTCATCTGATACCATTGTTTCAAAAGTTTCAAAATTTGGGCATAAAAACATTATATATATTTACAGACAGTCCTACTGG